GACATGCCTCCAATCTCCCCAAACAGAAAAGTCGTCTTCCTCACTCAGAACTTTTGCCATTCAATTGTCATGTTGAAACATAACCCAGGACAGATTGGAAGCGGAAAGCCTACATGTGTGCCTTAAGCTACTCTATCCTAATGTTTTAAAGTTAGAAAAAGAATAAGGTACCTAATGTTTTTATCATTGTACGTTTCCTATCAACACTCCAAGTTAATAAATATGATCTGCATATTATGCCATTAATGCAGTTGATGTAGGACCTAATTTCTCCTGAGTTCCATTGCAATTTGGCTATCAAAGGGTGGCATGAGCGCAGGGCTGGGAGTAGAGAATTCCTGAGTTCAAATTCTAGCTCTACCATTCACTTTCTCTGTGGCTTTTTTCTCAATTATTAAAATGGACCTAACGCCTCTTCAGAATAATGTAATAAGTATATATTAAACAATCAATGTTTGTACAGGGGTTTGCTCACAGTTATATAAATGGTGTTATAGGCCTCCTTGCCTCTTTTTTATAGTTAAAAGCAGTTTTTAAATTTTGTTTGCCCTAGATACTAGCTAGGCTATTCAGTATACTTTATTAAAGTGATACTTTTCCTAGGAAGTAGCCCCCTCAAACTCCCAAATAATTTCGACAATCATCCTTTTTGTATCACAAACCTACATTTCTCACAAATAAATGAAATGATAGATGGAATGGGTGTGGTTTTATTTTAGGGGGACTCTTCTTCCTGAGTGAGCTGTGTCTGTCCCTTCACAAGTGGTTTCCCTATGGTCAATCCTTGTTCCCTCTTAGAAATACATTAGTCCTCTGAAGCAGCACAGATCCCTTTAGGAACATCAGTAGTGAGAACAGGGAAAGAAAAGGGGTCAAATCTTTTGCCTTTTTTAAGATGCTTTATTTCCCTGGCTCCAACCCACAATTTAAGTTCAATTTTGCCCAAACTAGCTTCCCTCCTTTCACACACCACCAGCTCTTGAGCATTCCTGCCACTCTTCCATATAATCTTCTACTTTAGCAATAGCTTCCAGCCAGCAGGGCAAGAAAGAGGCTCTTCTGCATTACTTCGCTCTTCCTGACCCACCCACTAAGAGCTGTCTACTAATTGCAGCAGCACAAGGCACTCCCTTTTCCCAGTGTCCCCAAGTCTGGCTGGCAAGGACTGTGTAGCCTTTTCTACACAGAATTTTTAGCAATTCTCATGCTATTGGTTTAGTCAGAGTGTAGCTGTATCAGTGCTAGATCCAAGGTGGGAGAATTTCTAAACGTCTTCCATGTAAGCTAAGGCCTCCATCTTTGTGGTGTATTTCTGGAGGAATGTTTTCCAAGTGATAGACTTCCTTCCATTAAATAGCCCACATCCACATTCCACTACACCCCCATGTAACAATCTCTAGATTTATAACTGCTGTTTAAGTAGATTAAAGCAACCATAATTATGACTCCTGTCTCACAGTTTAAGAGAAATAAAACTGATTTGGAGGGGAAAAAAAAGTTTAAACAATCCAAGTTACTAGAATAAGTAATTCCTTGGCAGAAATTCACAGGAAATCTTTATTGAGGTAACAGATGAAAGGGAAACATTGATGAGCAGACAAAATTACAGGAGATATTTATTGTAACTTTTCAAGAGTGTGTTAGTCATAGAAATCAAAGTCAGTATTTGAAATAGTTTACAATTTAAGCTTAGATGTGACATGAGTAACAAACAATTTGGAGGGGTTGTAGAAGGGCCAGGGTAACAATATGATAACATGGTTTATTACCTTAGGCATTTGTATGCCTTTTTCCTTCAGTTATGATGGAGAGAGTACAGAAGAGAGCAACAAAAATGATAAAAGGTTAGAAACCCTGACCAATGAGGAAAGGTTAAAAAAACCTAGGCCTGTTTAGTCTTGAGAAAAGAGAGATGGGGGAGAGAGACCTGATGAGACTTCAAATACACCTCTACCCCGATAGAACACAAATTCGGATATAACACGGTAAAACAGTGCTCCAGGGGGACGGGGCTGCGCACTCCGGCAGATCAAAGCAAGTTCAATATAACGTGGTAAGACTTTTTGGCTCCCGAAGACAGCGTTATATCTGGGTAGAGGTGTATGCTAAATGCTGTTAGTAAATATGCTAAATGCTGGGTTTAATATTCAGCAAAGGATATTTAGGTAAGGGATTAGGAAAAACCTTATAAGGGTTAAGTTTTGGCCATACTCTCTACACCAACAGCTTGAAGGGAGAGTGGTGTAGAAGTGCTACCATGGCCCTGAACCATCAAACAACCCTTGTACATGTGCAGTAGTCTCCTTGTGTGTCAAATCCTAGCCAAGCAGCCCCTTGTGTTTGCTCACTGTGGGTCCCAAGGTAGGGGTCTCAGTAGGCTGCACTACTATTTCTTCCCTTTGTCCTTCTCTGGCACGTTTCCTGGGCACTGACTTTCACCCTGCTACTCTTTCTTGGAAATGGAACCCCTTTGGCATCCAGTACCATTGCTGAAGCCCAAGATACCTCAGAAGCTTAAATACCCTCTCCCAGAACTCCACCCTTAAGATGTGAGCTTCTAGTTTACCATTTTAACTCTCTCACAAGGCTCGTAAATGTTAGCATGCAACACATCTGACTCTTTTGCCAGAGTCTCACACAATTGTTCTTTTATTTAATCATATAAATCACAAGAGAGTACAGATCAAACAAAATAGTAAACCCTGCAGCCTATTTCCCCTGCTTCAGTTTCCTCACCACTGCAGGGCATTCTTTGGCCTGGGGTCCAAGTCCTGGTGCAGGGCACTGCTTGTCTGCTGAAAAGTGAAATCATGTCCTCCAGCCCAACTTCTTGGCCCTAGGCCAGTCCATCCCCTTCCCCTCTCCTGTTCCAAGTTCCCCCTGTGTGGTTCCTTATTTAACCCCCTGGCTGGTCACCTGTACTGCTCCTGGTAAATATCCACTGCTCCTACTTTCCTCCCTCTCTGCAAAGGAGGTAGGGTAAAACTGCTTTTTCCTAAGCTTTAGCTCACCTACTGTTCCAAGGGATCTGCACCAGAATAGGGTTGTTGAATTCTAACTATTCCCCATTGTATCTGTTCTAAGAGGATGTGACACCACCCATGGCAGCTAGGATGGGATTCATATTCACATAGAAGCATTCAAAAATACAGCAATTTTATAGTACAATATCCAGTATCACCCATAAGTTATACAACTAGATACCCCAAATCATCACACCAGCTCTAGATCTGGTGGACTTGGGTCACCTTGCATTTACAGTGGTGTAAAGCTTGTGAGTGCAGGTTAGAATCAGGGTCATGTGTGTCGATTACAGTAAAATAAGCTTATGGAAACAGTTCCCTATATTAAATACATATATTTGTTTAGTTTGTACAATGATTATGAGACTGGCGGGGTGTAGGAAAATGTGATTGGGGTGAGTCTTGCCAACTCATAATTTTATTTTGAGTCTTGAGATAGTGGAGGGTGGTTCTCCCCCTACCCCCTGCAGGTGTTGGAATAAAAAAAAAAATCAAGTGTCCAGCCTAGCACCTGTGGAAAAAGGCTTGAAAATATGAAGCAAGTGCACTGTAAACGTTCAGAACCCAAAAGGCAAATTAAAACAAAGGCCAAAATTATAATTTAAAATAGGGGTTTGGAACGGATCCCATATGAGGAGAGATTAAAGAGGCTAGGACTTTTCAGCTTGGAAAAGAGGAGACTAAGGGGGGACATGATAGAGGTATATAAAATCATGAGTTGTGTGGAGAAAGTGAATAAGGAAAAGTTATTTACTTGTTCCCATAATATAAGAATTAGGGGCCACCAAATGAAATTAATGGGCAGCAGGTTTAACACAAATAAAAGGAAGTTCTTCACACAGCGCCCAGTCAACCTGTGGAACTCCTTGCCTGAGGAGGTTGTGAATGCTAGGACTATAGCAGGGTTTAAAAGAGAACTAGATAAATTTATGGAGGTTAAAACCATTAATGGCTATTAGCCAGGATGGGTAAGGAATGGTAGCCCTAGCCTCTGTTTGTCAGAGGGCTAGATGGACCTTTGGTCTGACCCAGTATGGCCATTCTTATGTTCTTAACAAAAAATGATTTTTAAGTTAATGCCATTATTGGGGGGAACTGATTCATGATTTTTAAATGCTTGGGGTTAACACGAGGGCCAGCGTGTGAGAAGGGAGGAGGGAAAGGGCATTTTGGGGAGACATATGGTGTACGTGGGAGAAACAGCAGTGTTGGAAGGGATGTGTTGGGGTATATTGTGGTGTGAACAAAGTGTGTGGGAGAAGTATGGTAGTGCCATGATGGTGGAGAGCTCTGTGTGAGAGACATTCATGCTACAACGTGGGAGAAAAGTTTGTGGCGGGGATGCATCGGGGAGTTTGTACTCGATATGGGGTGGGGAATGAAATCACCTTTTCCAAGCGGAGGGTGGGAGCAGCCTGCAGCAGGGATTGGGCCTGTAGCGTTCAGGGAGGTTTGCACAGCAGATGGTGGAAGCTGGCGGGAAAAGCAGTTAGTCCTACTCTGCTGTGTACCCTTGGCGCAGGCCTGTGGGTCTGACTCAAGGATGGAGCGGGTCTGGGCCTGCCTGAGGCCGCCGTGCCCCGGTTGCCGATGCGGAGCCGATCCGCAGCTGAGCGAGCCAGGGCCGGCTCTGAGAGCAACTCTGTTTGCAGGAGCCGGGGGTTGCCATGGCAATAGGCCGGTCATGGCGGCGAGCTAGGAAAGGGGATTCGCCAGGCCTGGGGAAATGGGGACCGGACGAGCGGAGCTCGTTCCTGGGAGAATTACGAGGAGGCAGGACACCACCCTCCCCCGAACTCAGGCAACAGAGCATGCGCAGACTGAGTCGCTCGTCAGCTTCCGGTCAATCTGTTCTGTGTGTCCTCCGCGCTCTTTACTCGCGCATGCGCGGTGGTGGTCTCTAACCATCGGTACATGCGCAGTACTAGTCTGCGTGTGCCGTTCTGCGGTGCTGTGAGAAGATGCAACGGGAATTAGAATGGGTGGTACTACGCACGCGCGGTGACGTAAGGGAGAGCGACGCGCGTGTGGCATTGGGAACTGGGAGCGTTGGGCATGCGCTGTAGATAGGCGTGGCGAGAGCGAGACCTTGAGCCTAGAGACAGAAGACAGCGGCTTTACGGTACGGGGGGGTGAGACGCTGGGTACGGGGGAGCCGGTGACGGTGTCCGGTCTGGTCGTTTCCCCTCC